TGTTATCTATACATTCCACAGAGTAAATATTAGTTCACACTTCCTTCAGTGTTATCTATACATTCAACAGGTTGAATATCAATTCACACTTTCTTTACATTCAATAGATGGGTATAAACTGATTTTTGTTAAACTTGTAAACACTTTCTACACTAACATGAATTATGTCATACGCTACAATAAGTAGATACTAGACTATTACATATAGTTGTTACTATAGAGACTCTCTCTGACATTCAATAAAATAAAGGACTAACTGATTTATATTTCAAGATAAAGAAATGAATGAGTTTTCAGTCACCACAGTACTTTGATCTGTTTTATTTAATTAGAGACACTTTGACCAATTTTATCCTCATCTAGTGAAGTCTAATATGAGTTTTCAGTCACCACAGTACTTTGATCTGTTTTATTTAATTAGACCCATTTTGCCCAGTTTTATCCTCATCTAGCGAAGTCTGTCAATTTCTGGTATTTACCTGGAATCGTTATTTTCAACTTGTAATAAAAATACAAGTAATGGGTTTAGTTTTGTTACAAACTAGTTTTCTTTCAACAAGAGAACGACCAAGAAGAACTTGGAAATGAAATTAATATAGAACAATCCATGAGAGAACATTTCAAGGTTCCCTTTACGACGATATGCTGGAGACTAGCTTGTTCTTGAGAGAACACCCAAGGTTCCCTTTACGACGTTATGCTGAAGACTAACTTGTTCTTGAGAGAACATTTCAAGGTTCCCTTTACGACGTTATGCTGGAGACTAGCTTGTTCTTGAGAGAACACCCAAGGTTCCCTTTACGACGTTATGCTGGAGACTAACTTGTTCTTGAGAGAACACCCAAGGTTCCCTTTACGACGTTATGCTAGAGACTAGCTTGTTCTTGAGAGAACAACCTCTTCTTCAGCAAAGAGACGGACAATGAAAGACACCGCCAGCTGTGACGTAAGAGAACGAGCTAATCTCCAGCACAACGTCGTAAAGGGAACCTTGGGTGTTCTCTCTCAAGAATAAGCTAGTCTCCAGCATAACGTCGTATAGGAAATCTTGGGTCAAGGTCAAAATTAACATCAGTAAAAAGTCTACCAAAACCAATCACCGAGAGAATGACATGACGTCATTTCTTAGGGGGTACAGAAGATGTTTTCTGTAGCAACTCTGGGCAGGTTATCGTTGGTCTGTGTTTCTTTTGCTGCAGCATTTCTGAGCAGGTTATCCTTAGTGGAAGTTTGTATATTTTGGGAATGCAAAAATAGAAATTTTTCAGATCAATTTTCTCGAGATGAGAACGTGACATTTATGGCGATACCGTCTTTATGGATAATGTTAACTGGTTTACCAAGCCGTCAGGAGAGCAGATAACATTTTTCAAACTCTCTCTCATTATTAGCTCTATTCTATTGAAGTTCACTGAGAATTTGTATACGTTATTGTTAACTTGAAGAAGTATCTTTTCTTACTTCTTTCCCTAAATTTCCCTGCATGTTTCACCTAGCGGTAGTAACAAGCGACCAGCTCCGTCATCATAGTTATTACCATTATTATATACTTATTCATCATTATTATTTGTTAGCTTACCCCCTCCCCACTCCTCCCTCGAGAAGGGTTTGGCTGGACGACACACCTACTTTATTGGGTTTTTTTCTGTAGTTCTGAAACTGGTTTTTCTATTAAGGTAAATTATGCACAGCCGAAAATAAAAAAAGAATAAAATGTGAAATTTTTACCTTTATTTTCACTTCTACCTTCTTCTTATGAAACGTGACTTGAAAGTAGATGCGGGTTGGTCCTGTTGTTTCTAGGTTGACTTAACATATAGTACATAACGGTTTCCAGGTTGAATTAACTTGAAGGTAGTACAGAACGGTTTCCAGGTTAAGTTAACTTGAAGGTAGTACAGAACGGTTTCCAGGTTGAATTAACTTGAAGGTAGTACAGAACAGTTTCCAGGTTAAATTAACTTGAAGGTATTACAGAACGGTTTCCAGGTTAAGTTAACATGAAGGTAGTACAGAACGGTTTCCAGGTTGAATTAACTTGAAGATATTACAGAACGGTTTCCAGGTTAATTAACAAGAAGTATTACAAAACGGTTTCCAGGTTAAATTAACAAGAAGGTAGTACAGAACGGTTTCCGGATTAAGTTCACTTGAAAGTAGTACAGAACGGTTTCCAGGTTATGTTAACTTGAAGGTAGTACAGAACGGTTTCCAGGTTAAGTTTACTTGAAGGTTGTACAGAACGGTTTCCAGGTTATGTTAACTTGAAGGTAGTACAGAACGGTTTCCAGGTTAAGTTTACTTGAAGGTTGTACAGAACGGTTTCCAGGTTATGTTAACTTGAAGGGTGTACAGAACGGTTTCCAGGTCAACTTTTTGCTATTAAAGTAAGATTTTATCGGCATGTTTTTTTCACTCTTATCATGTGGTCATGACCGTTAAAAGGTAAGCAAATATATGTTTATCCAATAAACATTAGATTTAACAAACTAGAGGGAGCAAAGCGTATTTCCTGTCATATATATATATGGCATTTTCTCAGTATTTTCACAACACCTTGTAAGAATTTTTCAGCATATACTGGAAAGCAAAACTCATAACAACATGGTTACATTGTAGAATACAAACATGTTAACCACCATCATACATGGAAGTACTGTAAACCTTCACAGTAACACGTGCTGCTCCTCACGTTGTAGAATACAAACATGTTAACCACCATCTTACCTGGAAGTACTGTAAACCTTCACAGTAACACGTGCTGCTCCTCACGTTGTAGAATACAAACATGTTAACCACCATCCTATCTGAAAGTACTGTAAACTTTTCGTTAGTTGACAGTTAATGTCGAAAGTTTGACTGTCTTCAGAACTATCTGTGCCTTCTCTCTATCTAAAGGCAACTATTTAGGTGTTGAAAAACATTTCCAGTATTTCACAGAAATAAACGCTTAAAGTAGAGAACAGAGACGACGACGAATCAAATTTGAAATAAAATCAAGACGAATATTTTGAAAGTGATCATAAATGCTTGAGCTTGTCAATTTTTATTCAGGGGTCTATTAGTTACGTTGTAGCAACCACTTACTGCTCGCTTCAGCGAACAATATTTCATCGTTTCGTTAAGAATCCACGTGTTTAAGTGTTTAGTTTTAGGGTAATTTCGGATCTGTTTGGTTCTTGAACTATTCCAGCAGGTCGAACTTTCTCTACGTTACCATGACATATTATTAACGGTTATGTGTGTCTGTATAAGAAGCTATTCTGCTTGGCTCGAGAACTCGGTGAACAAAATAAGTTAACATATCATGAATTTAATTCATACTCATTACAGTAATACATACTATAGTTTTAGGACATTTCAAAATATGAAACCTTTACATATAACGTATTGAGAGAATCACTTTGAAGAGTTATGTCAGTATGAAACTTTAGGTTTCCAGGTTTTCCATCAAAATACAGAGAGAGGGGATATCTATTGATATATAATCTAAACCATGTGGGGGATTTACAGCCATAACGTTAAAAACAACTACAAAACTCAATACGAATACCACAGTATTAAGACATAAAATTATAGAATTACTCGCTGTACTAACTTTAAAGTGAGTTAGGTATACACACCTACACAGAATGCAGACATATAATAATATTTGCGGTTACGTCGTCCCTAATTTGGAAATACTCACCATTGATGAGACAACCAGACAGCAGCAGCACATTCACGATAAGAGATTGACTAATTAATCTTATAACATACCTACAGCTTAAAGTGCATGGAATATTTTATGGTATCGTAAGGATTTGAACCAAGGGCACAAGAATCCAGAGCTCTACCACAGAAACCAACCCACGCCCCTATATATACACAGACAGAAACATATTAAAAGAAGGATTAACAGATAAGTAAACAAGCAGGCAGACAGAATTACATACATACTGATAGACAAATTTCCTTGTTTATCTTGCTTTTATATCTGTACGTGTTTCGTCCAAGCGATAATTTAAACATTTCGATCATAATCGCTCTTCTTCTTCTTGGAGAATGATGAAAAACACAATTAAAAACTAAATAAACGCGAAAACATTATATATATATATACCTCAATATACATCTTAATGTGTTAAAGTGTTAATGGTTTTTGGATCAATTAATTAAATATAATAAGCATATATAAAATATGATTCTAGCAATAATACGTAATAAACATGTATTGTACTAGTAGTAATACATCTAATTAACCTATACAGTAGTTTGGACATTTAGCAATGATAGATTTAATAAACCTGTATCGTAGGTTGAACTATAAGCAATAATATATTTAATAAACCTGTACAATGAGTTGGACTTTTAGCAACAATAGATCTAATAAACTTATAGAATAGGTTGAAGTTCTAGCAATAATAGGTCTAATAAACTTATACAGTACTTTGGACTTTTAGCAACAATAGATCTAATAAACTTATAGAATAGGTTGAAGTTCTAGCAATAATAGGTCTAATAAACTTATACAGTACTTTAGTACTGTATAAGTTTATTAGACCTATTATTGCTAGAACTTCAACCTATTCTATAAGTTTATTAGATCTATTGTTGCTAAAAGTCCTACTGTATAGGTTTATTAGATGTATTATTGTTAAAAGTCCAACATAATGTACAGGATTATTATATGTATTATTGCTAAAAGTCCAAAGGTAATAATGGAACTAATAAACTTATAAAGTATGTTGGACTTTTAGCAATAATAGAACTAATAAACTCATAAAGTATGTTGGAGTTTTAGCAATAATGGAACTACTAAACTTGTGAAGTATGTTGGACTTTTAGCAATAATAGAACTAATAAATTTGTAAAGTATGTTGGACTTTTAGCAATAATAGGAACTAATAAACTTAGTAAAGTATGTTGGACTTTTAGTAATAATGGAACTAATAAACTTATAAAGTATGTTGGACTTTTAGCAACGTGTGTTAATAGGAGGTCTAAGAGAATAATTTCACCTGTAAATGAGTCATCCTGCTCATGAGACAATCGAACCAGGGAGTATCGTTTTTTTCTGGCTCCTCTACTGGTATTTCTATGTTGAGGAGACGAGTCTTGGCTTTCGTCACTGCTCATATTTCCAAAGTCAATTTACTGGGTACTGGTGCATGAGATCATTGTCCCCACTGGGCAGTCTGTTACTAGTTTAAAGTTTTCTATACACTAACTACGTTTCAAACGAATCTGCAGACATCCGTGATAGGTGGCTAACGCCTGAATGATAATTTATCGGATATGATCTCACCGACAACTATGACTTAATGAAATATTAGCTGCTTCTAAACAACAAGAGAAGGGAAAGCTGGTTCTAAGTTAATTAGAGACAAACTTAATGTTATCCAATCACACAGTTCAAGTGTTTGGACTGTAAGCTAGTTTTTCTGCTAAATAGTCCTACCAAATTCCATACGATCAATAAACATGTATCTAAATTCTGTAAGTCTGAAGTTTAGAATTGGAATCTAGTTAAATGTAAACGGCTAAAAAGGCCCAGTGAAATATGATAAAACTGTGTATAAGATACTAACAACAATGTAAAAGTAGAACTATGGAATATAATAGAAGTTTTGAGATTAATAACAATGATAAGAGATTAACAACTATTATAACTAGAAGGAAGATAAAATACGTTTTGAGATTAATAACAATGATACGAGATTAACAACTATGTAGCAGTATAACTAGTGGAAGATAAAATACGTTTTGAGATTAATAACAATGATAAGAGATTAACAACTATGTAGCATTATAACTAGTGGAAGATAAAATACGTTTTGAGATTAATAACAATGATACGAGATTAACAACTATGTGGCAGTATAACTAGTGGAAGATAGAATACGTTTTGAGATTAAGAACAATGATAAGAGATTAACAACTATTATAACTAGAAGGAAGATAAAATACGTCTTGAGATTAATAACAATGATAAGAGATTAACAACTATGTAGCAGTATAACTAGTGGAAGATGAAATAAGTTTGATATTATTTACAATGCTAAGAGATTAACAACTATGTAGCAGTATAACTAGTGAAAGATAATGAGAAGTTTGAGATTAATAACAATGATAAGAGATTAACAACTATGTAGCAGTATAACTAGTGGAAGATAAAATACGTTTTGAGATTAATAACAATGATACGAGATTAACAACTATGTAGCAGTATAACTAGTGGAAGATGAAATAAGCTTTGAGATTAATAACAATGCTAAGAGATTAACAACTATGTAGCAGTATAACTA